CTTAACATCAACCTGTGTCCTATTCTGCTTCGTTTCGTAATTACAGGGTGTTAATTTTTTTTTTTAATTTATTTCAAATGTAGCAAATTTTGAGTTACTTAAACTTACTTTACTATGACCAGTGTCTAATGGATTCAAGTCAGGGTGACCGTATGTTTTCGAAAGATCGTGTTGAAACCACATTCTATTTAACACCCTGTAGCTACGGCAGCACATTTTTGAAACACCCTGTATAAGGTGGTCATTAAAAATACTGAAGTTTTTAACACAGTGAAATGACCAATTTGTACATAATTAACAGTTTTTGCAAACTTAAATTAAGAAATAAGACAGTACAAAATACATTGATTTTCTTTTTATACTATTACTAGTATTTAGCTAATATCTAAAAAAAATAGAACGAACAACGACCCGATTTAACAAAAATATGGTATAATTAAGTGGGCAAAAACACAGTACGATGCAATTTATTGCAATTTAATTCGCCATTTTTTTAAGCAGGTTATGCAAACGTTTAGTGTCTAGTCCAAAAGAAAAAATGTTGCGTGCCAGTGTTTAAACGGTAATCGTTTATATAAAGTTTTCGATCCAAGGCAGAACATGCAAAATTAATTAGTCGTAATATTTTGAACATGGATTATAGCCGTGACACTAATTTTTGTAAGTGATCCACCATAATTCGAATCGGCCATAAATTATTGTCGACACGGTCCTGAAATTATTAGTGTTAAGAATGTTATTTGTGCAAAATTCAGATTCCCAAATTTTTTTTTTCAAATTATGTTTTTTTATTTCTTTGGAATATATTCAAATTGGTTCAATACATATAACAATTTTTTTCAAAAATATTGGGACCTGTACTACTGTACTTCTGTTAATTTAGTACTTTTTACCTTTGCCTCAGATTGTTTAAAACTGCACTTTCACTTATGTTAGACTGTACTAAAAAAATGTTAATTGAAAATCGACGAAAAGTAAAATTTTAAACTTCTACGCCGTTATAAAAAATACTCGAACTTTCTCATGTTTTATATCTAAATTACGTTTTAGTGTATTCGCTTTTTGCTACTTTCTTCTCTCCTACCAATTTATACATTTGGTTCTTATCGTATGTGCCGTGTTTCTTTCCTCGAAAAGAAATTTTCGTGAAATTTAACGTTTCGAATTGAATGTGTACGAATTTCCGTTAGTGAAATGTTGCATATATCTAATGGACGTGACGTAATAACAACAGTTTTATAATAAAATATGGAGGTTGCATTCTAGGCGGTCAAGTTTAATTCGTTATATTATTACTATTAAATTACAGAATTTGCTACATAATTTTTTTAAATCTACGCATAATTTATCCGTATCTTTCTTCTTACTTTTATGAGCAAAAGAATAAAAAAGAGAAATTTGATTTAGGTAAGTAACTAATAAAAGTAAACTTCTTAAATTGCATAATTATATTTCTGTCAGTAAAGAAATTGCCTATGGCACGACTAAATCAAATCCAGAGAATTAAATTTGTAATTTTTATTAGATATGAGGATAAAACGGGAACTCAAGCGGAAGTCTGTAATTTGTTTAACGCAAAAAGTCCAGAAAGATCCAGTGAGTAAAATTGAGAGAAAATTTATAGAAACAGGGCATGTAAAAGATCAAATCGTCCAGAAACTAATGAGAATTGAACAATAAATATTTTACTAGAATTTGCGAAGGAACGAACAGCTGTGCGTATATTAAAAGAGGAAAAGTATCATCTCTATAAGAATACATTACAAGAGCTGAACGAACATGATCCTGACCATAGATAACAGTTTTGGTTAGTTTTCTTTTATAGTCAGATTCTGTTCAGTGATCATGCCACGTTTCGATTAAATGGTGCCGTAAATTAACAAAATTGTAGGTATTGGAGCACAAATACTTTCCCATGGGTGATAGAAAATCATATACAACATCCACAAAAAATTGGACCTTATTTCTTCGATCAAAATCTTGCAACCCGCTATTTACATTCCCTTTAAAATGATTTAATTCCTACTGTCGCACTTTCTTTACCAGTTCCTGTCCGATAGACAGATTTGGTTTCAATAGGATGGCGATCCTCCCCATTTGCAGGTGCGTGAATATTTAAATACAGTATTTCCCCTTCAGTGGATTGGTAGAAAGGGATCAGATGTTACTCTATTTGAGTTTTTGCTATGGGGATAATTAAAATCAAAACTGTATAAGGAAAAAACCACAAAATTTAGATGATTTAAAATTTAGAATTATGTACCAAATAAGGCGAATTAATAATATAGGGTATCTCTATACCTACACGAATTATGCATGAAATTTGACGCAAAAACTCTAAAATGGATAAAAAAGTATCGTGGTCCATTTAAAAAACAAACTTGGTATCGACATCTACTTTCTGACCCGCCCTGTATATTATAATTTTAAAATGAACGTGTTCAATATTTTAGCCTTTCGCTGTAGACTAAGATATATGCAGAATGGACCAACCAATTTGAGCCTTTATTTCTCGATTTTTAAGCTAACATTAAGTTGAAATTTGTTTAAAAAAAAACAGTAATTAAAAGCTTTAGTTATTAATTTTTTTAATAAGTTCTTATAAAAAAATATCGATTTAGAAACTGAAAAATATTTTCTGCAAATAATTATTCTGTTCTCTCAAATAAATGATATCTTACACAAAATTTGTTATTATGTATCTAATAAAAACTATGGAAGTTGACCTTGAGGTTGAGCATATAGGCAAAAATCTAAATACAGTCACCAGCAATGCACATGCTCGTCACCAATTCAACTCAAATTAGGTTCGTTATTTATGTTCCATCATTTTTTTGCTCTGGACCGTGCGTTGATTACATCTAGGTGTAAGGGGGGAGGGGTAATTCTAAACGTAGCTAAATCCACTTGCTCAGACTATTTCGGCCGACTAGAATAATTAATCTATGATTGTGAAGTTATGTCAATTTTACTATAGTTTCGTGTAATTGAATACTTTGTGTTAATGCTCAAAGTTGAACTATATCAAATTGAAAAAGACCAAGGGTACCAGTTTCATTTAATGATGGTGTGTCTCAGAGACGTATTTTGCAAGTTAAATCGTCAAGCATATATAGCTACTAGAGATATAGCCCTTGCCTATGATGATAGTAAAGGAACTTATGAAGCAACTATGAAAACCATTTTGAGAAGGTAACTTTAAACTTAGGTAAAGGAACTTATGAAGCAACTATGAAAACCATTTTGAGAAGGTTCATTCAACATGCGCATGCGCGAGTTTTAAAATTTCGCCTGGGGAATTCAACAACCAACATGGCCACTGACAGGCCGCCAATCAGTTTAGATGCGGTCCCTTGGCAGCATTTTTTCAAAATATACCTAGTCATTCAAACTTGTAACTTAAAGTTGCTCACGCTTTCCCATTAAAATAAAAGTTCTGATGTTATTTAAATTGTTGACAAATCCGTTATATTCCATATTGTTTTAATATTTTGTGATTGAATTTAATATATTCTATTATTCGAAAATTTTAGTTATTTTACTTGATCCAAGTGCATGTTCGTGACGCATTTATTGGCTATCGTTCCCACATTGGCTAGCCGTAAAAAAAAAAATTTAAACTTTATTTTCGACTCGAAAGGCCTTGCCTAATGCTGATAATACGATGAAAAAATAAGTCATTTAAATGTTCTGGGAAAATGTATTAACTGAAAAGAAAATGACGCAAAGTGCTAGAAAAATATGAAAGTCTTATTTTAACCACGAGCACTAGGAACATTCGCCCAATTTTTAAGAAGAATCAATTTTATGATGAAAATTGTCATTGATATCTTCCGTTGCAGATTTATTTTGCCGATCATATGATCTCGACCCACTGTTTGCCTGCGCCTACTTCTCTAATAACAGTTAGTCACAGTCACTATATTATTTGGGCAAACGATATAGCTACCAGATATAGAGGCGCTGGCCCATGTCGATAATACAAGATTATATAAAACAATTATGAAAAAACTTTGAGAAGGTCGATTCAACATGCGCGTGTCCGAGATGAAAAATCTAGCTTGTAACCAATGACCTTGCAGAATTCAACTAAACCAAAACTAACCAAGATGGCCACTGACAGATGGTCATTATGTTTGGATGCGACATTTTTACGACAGTACTTTCTCAAAATATGCCTAGATTTGTTTAGATATTCTCGGAAAACGAGTTAAGTGTGTAGAAATGGCTCTTTAGAAAGAAAATGGCGTAAAGTGCAGGTCAGTTGATGAAATGTAGAGGCGTGCTACTAAAATATCATATCATATCTGTTACCAGTCCGGACGCACCTTAAGAAAGATGTTTTTGATCAGCGAATTTATTTTGCTAAATAAATATGCGGTTGTTGCCGAAATTTTGGGAAAAACCTAAGCCATCAACAGGAAACGGCGCAGTTCGTGGTATCCTTTTTTTTATTTCTATATTTTTCTTCGATAAAACTCCTATCGTGTTTGCGGTTTTCAGAGTACGGAGCGAACAATTGAAGGTGAAAAAAATGGCCGGCTGTTTCCCGCGATCAAGAAAGCGGCCGTGTCGCGTGTCGCGTTGCGAAATACGTTACAATAAATAAATGTCGGCAATTGCCGCGCGGGTACGAAATTACAGTTACAAAATATATGTGAAAAAGTAGCGGAGCACGGCGCACCAGGAAGCGAAAGAAAAACGTATTATTTTAATGAAGTAATCAAACAAATTAATGACAATGGCCATAAACACCGGGGAAGGAAGGAAACGAGTGAAAGCATTTCTTTACGAGTTGCCGGTTGCCGAAGGTATCACGCAGTTAAACCGATGTCCGAATAGGTCTGTAACGACAATGTTGAGTGGAAATTTTGCGCAGGTTTACGGAAAGGAAGGAAACAACCGTTTTACGGTTTGCGTCATAAATATCAAAGTTCCGCAGCAAACATAGGCACACACACACATACACACCAATCCATTATATATTTATTATTACTTACAGATTGGCGTTATAGTTATGCAACCAACATCGCATAATCTAATTCACATTTGTGTTAAAGCTGGTGCATTTGCGCTATAGTACTGCGGAGCTCCCAACGAATGAAGAACTTACAGAAAAAAATGATAATTAAATAGTCTAACTAAATCATTTTCTTTTGTCAACGATAAAAGTACGTGTGCTTCTGCTTTTGTGTATTTTGAAATATTGTGACTGTGAACTTTGGAGGCAGTCTTTAATTTAATTAAAAAAAAAACGCTTTCTGTGTTTCGATGTTTACTTTTTGATGACGTTATTAGGTGCGGTAAATATTGGGTAAATATACAGAAACACAATTAAAATGTGTCAAACAATTTTATCAAAAATTATTAATTGTATTAAATTTTGCGGAGCTTTTGGATGATGAGAGCGAAACTTCCGAGAATCCAGAAAATATTTCAGGGATTTTTTAATTTTTAGACTGAATTAGAAACAGCTGTATATGAGCACCCAAAAAATTTTTCGATATTTACGGGCACTTCCAAAGAAATTCAGGCTGATCTGTTACAGTGTATGCTTGTTTGTCATGAACAAATTATTGAGGAAACAATTTTTCGTTTTTGGTTAAGGTAAGCTTTTTTGCAAGAATTGCAGAATACCGTAAAATTCTGAGCCGCCACTGAGTTGATGTAACGTTAAAGGTTTAATTTCGTAAAATTTGAGACTCTGCTGAATTGCGTTGAACTTGTGAATAATCATGTTGAAGCTTCAAATTGAAACTTTACTTACATGTAAAGTTAAAATTAAAATTGAATAAAATTTTTTTTCAAAGAAACTTCCACAGGCTACTGTAATGTAAAATGAATACGTTTTACTTTTTACAAAACTTCTGGATTCCTCCTGCGTCGGTTTTTGCTGAGTCGAACTTGCAGGACGACGCAGGAGGAATCCAGAAGTTTTGTAAAAAATATTACAGTAGCCTGTGGAAGTTTCTTTGAAAAAAAATTGAATAACGTTTAAAAATTGCAATAATTTTGAATACTTAATTTTCTGAAAGATCTCGTTTAATTCAAATTGAATTAAAGCCTAATTATATTATGATAAATTTGCAAGAAAAATTACGTAATAATTTAATATATTCTGGCATCGATCTGTATTTCGAAAGAATCAAATCAAAATCAAAAATCAATCAAATTTTAGAGTTGACTGCTATTTTCATTTTTTGGACCTCGATAGTGATTATTATTCATAGTGATTTAACACGTGATTCTCATTCTATGTACTATACCGTGAAATATGTGAAATATGTTGGAAGCGTATGTTATTTGATACGAGGAAACACACACACTACTTTGAATGTCTTTAATTAAACAGAGCATAGAACAAGTCAACTACACCTTAATTTGAACTTAAAAATTGTTTAATTACCGGTAAGAATCTTGATTAAAGGTTGGATAAGGGTACAAAATCAAAAATCCAATTGAAAATGGAAGGTTGCGATTTATTTTAAATGTGCGAAATAAACAAATGTAATATTTAAATGTTCTTATAGCCACAGAGGAGGCTAAGGGTCGCTTTTCCTTAATTTATAAAGAATGAGAACAAGTTATAACACATTTCCACACACAGTTTATCGATATACGCACAGAGCACAGAACAAGTCTGGTCTAATGCAAACATAATTTCACAATTTACATAAACTGCACATTCATTTAAACTTAAAGAATGTCCAACTACGAAAAAAAATCATGTCCCAAGGTTGTACAAGGGTGCAGAATCAAATTAAAATGAAAAATTTTAATATATTTTAGATGTAATTGGCGCTGTACGAAGTAAACAAAGGAAGAGGTCTAACAACATTCAGTCCACTTTAAAATATTATAAATATCACCCCTACAAATGTATTTATTCCTATTCAATGCTAATAGTCCGGATTTAAACACAGACACAGACCTCCAAATATACGACTGTTCAGCCCAAGAATTGAACAAGAAATATTCATGCTCAATAGAGATGATCCAGATTTTATTGAGAGATAATATTTACCACATGTCAAAAGTTCTAAAGGAATATAACGTCAAAACCAGATTTAGCAAAATGCCATTTGAGATGCCAAGAGTTTACAGCATTCCATGCACATGCGGCCTTGGAGAGACCAGACGAAAAATATCAACTAGACTCAAAGAACATGAGATAACCTTAAGGCAAGACAAATAAACTCATCATATAAAATTTTATTTAACAAAACTAACATTTTTGAATGTAATCAATTCTTCTACCAACGAAAAGTCCGAGGGTCTATAGAAATCTATAAGCAACCTAATAATCTTAACCGTGACTCAGGTCTTTACCTGTCAGCAATATGAGAATCAGCCATCCGAGACGGTTAGCTGCGCCCCCCTCAAACAATATATAAGCAGGTATGCAAATAAAATGCGGGCCAGTTTTCTTTAAGCTCTGAAAAAGCTGACAGGACCATTGGCAAGATTGACTCAACAAAATCCGACGCAGGAGAAATCCAGAAGCTTCTTTGAAATATAATTTTTTGGTTTATGTAAAATGTTTTTAGTTTACATAAATTACAATACATAAAATAAGAAAATTAGCTGAAAATTGAAATAAAAAGAAATACACTGCAGGTAAATCCCCAGAGGTACAGATATCAGCGTCCTAAGAGAGCTATCAGCTGTCCCTCTTCATTTTGATTTGAAAACATACACCTCGAACCCTGACACCTTTCTTGAATTTTGATAAGGTTCCATTTTACTTTTGCCCACTTCTTTATGTATATAATTAATTATTTAACAATATCCTTTATTTATTAATTGCTTTCAATCGGTTGGGCCATTGGAATTACTAACACCTCGAACCGCCTGCATACGTAACTGGTAAGATAAATGTGTCGCGTTCTTGACATACATTTAATTACACCCGGAGAAATTGAAATTAATCACCGGAGAGAAAACGAGCAGACGTATCTGCTACGTGCCGGCATCCGTATAGGATCGCGATTCGGTGGGTAAAAGTCAAACGAAAATGTGGGGTCGAAAATTCAGATTTCCTGCAAACCCAAACGTATATACGCTTGTGATAGGCATGCGGCGATTTCTAGGAAATGAACCTGCACGGACGGACGGACCGATTACGTAAAAGCTTTCGTAATTGTTCGATTGATTCGCAAAGACCGCTCAATAACGTCAACCACCCATTTGGAGAGAGAGATACGAGAGTTTATTCGGAGGCACTTTATCATTCATTGGATAATAGGGCGAGCTATAACAAGATAAACTCAATAACAAGCAATAACAACACACTGATAATTGTTTTATATTTCATCGCAGCCAAAGATCAGTTGACACTTTCATTAAATATTTTGTTAGGATTTATATAGGATGACAATTTTTTTCTTTTTTTTGTGATATTAACATTTTTCAAAATTTAATCATATTGTGGCCGTAAACTAACCAAAACTAACCAAAAGAATGTCAATATGGGGCACTTAATTATTTGAGTTGATAATTGTTTACTTATCGACATTTTGACTTCATTATATCACTTTTTCCATTCATCTTGCGTCGGTTTTTGCTGAATCGAACTTGCTGACGTTTCGCCAATCATCCTGTTGACTTCTTCAGAGCTTGACTGAAACTGGCTCGCACTTTACTCCAAAATCACGCAGTATTTTCTAAGCAAGTCATGAAGATTTTGTAAACGTCATCACAAAGAAGTACCGAAAGGTTTCGAAAACGCAAGGCTCTATTTTCCTTTTTTTACTACGTTTACTATTTATCTTTCAATACAGTCACCATCTTTTAAGCTCAAAATAAACGGAGACCTGCGATTCACCATTATTAATTTCCCTTGTGCAGCTATCTATTCCATTAATAGAGACAAATTACTTCCTCTTACTTTTACTCTTACTTTTTCGTATCTGTATCATTGTTATTATGCATTAAATTTTAATAATCAAATTAGGAACTTTGGATACTTGTCAATCATGTGTCAAAGAGGCCTACGATAATAATTATTATTGTCATAGGGAGAACAAGAACGTTCTGTGCCAAATACACAGTTAAAGAACTAGAAACGGACACCTAATATCAAAAAATAGTTTGAACGCCCGCAAACGCAGCTTGTTTTCGATGTTAGTGTCATATCTGCGTTGAATGACGTAGGCATATTAGTCCTGTTTTGTTATTTGTCGTTACATAACGCGAGTTACACCTCTGTGACCGAAATAAAAAAAAACCTAGTTTATCCAAGCGTATCGGTATTTTTATTTACTTAGCAAAGTTTAAAAATTATAAATTATTATTCTTTTGTACCGGATCGACGTAGGTATTGTGTTTCGTAATGGCTGTGGCTTGGAGGTTTTTCAATCTTTCAAATAACAAATCGTTCTGCTGATATTTTCTCCGTTACTACAAGTAACAACACACATTGTTTAAAAAATTCAATGGTGCTAAAAGTCAATATTGTCGACGGATATCTGTTAAAGACGAAGTGTGTATCCAAAAAGTAACTTGACCTTTACGTTTCATCATTTATTTATCAAAGTTAATATTGTTTGCGGTCAAAGTAATACCCCCCAGATATAATACAATTTGTGCCAAAGTTTTTCCAAACCAAGCGTTTTGGGAAAATAAAAAAGTGGCAGTGGGCCATACCCGGTGAATATGGTGGCTGAGGCATGATTGTGGTTTTGTTCTTGGCCAAAAAGTTATAAATGTGTTTGTTTTCCCACAATTCCGGACGTCTTCGTATTGCTTCTGGCAGACGCCACATAAATTTATTGTAATGCCGTACGATCTTGACATGCTTTTTTCGGTATTCTTTGTTGTTCCATTGCGACGACTGGGCTTTGGTTTCGACGTCATAACCGTATAAAGTCTGTTCATAGATATAAGAAAGTGACTAACTGATACGAATTAAGGAAAGACCCGGGCAAGCTGTAAGAATGAAATATGGCCGAACAGGTCCGTACTTTGCTTAGAATTTAATTATTTGGTGTTTTGTTAGGAAAGATACTGAATAATATTTATTTATTTGTGTATGTATAAATGTAAAATAAAATTACAAATTATTTTTATTACCTACTTAAATTACTTAAAATTATTCACATAATATATCAGTATCACTATCGCTATCATCGCCTGTTCTAATTATTATTTTATTATTATGTTCAATGGGATTAAATATACAGTGGGAAGGTATGC